TCCCAACCTAAGTAGCTGGCTCGATGTTCTTTGTAACAACGTGGCTGCCAGCATATTGTTGCTTACAAATTATTTACAATAATAATAATGAAACGTTTTCTGGATACTTCAATATAATAATAACATTCTTTTACATTATATATCCAACGCACAACAATAGGCATAGATAAGGCTAATATCGTCAGTCGTGCCTACAATTGTAGGAAGCCTTTGTAGCCTTATTGATTTTCATAGTTTTTTTCTATCCTTCAGAAAAGCTATTTTGAGGTTATATTTTTTTTATACTAAAATTTCATTCTGATAAAACCTAATTTTTATTACCTGTTTTATCAGCCTACAATTCATTATGATTCAAAAAGAAAACAAACCCTCGCACTAGGAGAGCGCTGACGCTGAGACGGAACAGTAGAAACCTGGGAGACCCCAGCCTTTCTGAAAGAGAAAAAAGTCTATGAAAATCAAAGAGGCCTTAAAGGCGTCCTACAATTGTAGGAACGACTGACGATACAGCCCCAAGTCATTAAAATTTTGAGAATCGAATCGGTGGAGGGTTACCATGATAGTATTTTTCAACTCCCTACTATTTAGTTAATGTGAAATTAATATTTTTAAACGACTCAAAATGAATAGAAATATAATCAGCAAGTTATTGCTATAGACAAATGTTCTTAGTAAAAGTATATATCGTATATGACCAATTTATGTCAACTATTAAGGTGACAAAGTGGTGGGTGAGTACTGCTTAGTAACCACGACTTCAGCTTCTTTTTAAAATTATCCAGAGTACAATTTCTAAAGTCAAATGTAAGATCTTTTTGAAGACAGGCGTAGTGTTAAGGTATAACTAACAATTATCGATTTCTGGTAGCCAAGTTATTGATGTTTTCAAATTTGTTGAGTTTATTCCATATTCACTAAAATTTTATGATCCAAAGATAAACTTTGGTATATTCTGAGATTTTCTATTTCCATTTTACCTTTCACATTTTACACATTGCTTATATGATATCCATATACCTGGAGAAAAACGCTAACAAGAATTTTGTAGCAGTTGTTTCTATCCGTTATCACTTTTCATTATATTATAGCGGGACTATATAGACTTGCGCAGTATGAGATTCTTGAAATTATGAGAGCATCACAAAATACCATCTTCAGTTTACTAATTAATATATTCCTTTTGATACTGAAATCAATCAATTTTAATTCATTGTCCAACCATAACCCTAAATGTTTGCTAACGGTTACAAATAATAATAAGAATAAACCTATTTATTTCTTTACAACATTGTAATGGAGACTTAAAAGACGAAATTTAGCGTTTGCAACACTTAAAGAAATTTTATCAATTGCTAATTGACAAAGATTTTCTGCTATATTACGCTTTTTTTATCGAAAAATTATCATTATTTTAGATTTATTTGCATTGAGTTTCAGGTTACGAGCTGCTGAGATATTGAAAAAAATATAGATCGTTGTTAATAAGATTAAAAGAAGGAACCACATCGTCAATAGCGAAGATGCAATATACCTATAATGTGTATCATCTGCATAATGCTGTTTTATTTGTTTTGAAAAAATCGGAGTTTATATAGAAAATAAAAGAGGACTGAAAATGGAACCTTGGGCTGATATCTTTTAGTAAAGACGCTTTTTATGGATTGGGCGGCAATAGAGCTAAATCCATAATATTTAAAATTGGCACACGAAAATTCTGTGGACAATTGTATCAAAGGCCTTACTGTAATCTAGCAATATCAAACAAACAGCTTTACCACAATCCTGTGAGAAAGAGGAGAGAGTGAAGCCAAGTGCTACTACAAAAAAATGTTCAAGTGTGACACTTCTCCGTATTTTCTAGAAATCAATCAGAAACCGATGGTGGTCGACTGGTTGGGCTATGTATGATATGATTTATTCCTTTAAATTAACGTCACGTCTACAGACAGAAGAATTCGTGGAAAAACAGAAACCAGAATTTAAAAATTACCTTAGAGTTAATAATACCATTGTGCAAGACATGCCGAGTCTTCTACCTCTTGTGCCACTCCTAAGGCTAGGCTAAGGTTCTTAGGTAGTGAAGCTACGAGGCAAGATGCTTGTGAAAGTGACAGTTATTACTAGAGTACTTCCAAACTTCCGTTTCTCAAGTTATTCCAGTTCTTATCGTTATGGGAGGAGAAGTCAAATAAAATCTCTTCGAGGGTAAAAATTCCAAAGGATCATAAACTTCCTTTTTACAGTTGTACGTTCTTGCACATCTCCGACAGGCACGACAGCTTCCTTAAGAACTTAGTGCCTTCTTGCCTATTTCTAGATAGACCACCATTCTGGGGTCTCTTTCCGATATTTTTCTTGGCACCCCTATGCTTTTTGGCCCTCATCATGAACACATTTCTTTATTTGTTGATACATATTTTCAGCTGTTGCATTTTCTCTTTATATGTGCTGAAGCGAATTTAATCGAATCTTGTTTTAAGCTGTCCAATTTACATTTACATTCACTTAGAATATTTTTTCTTCCATGTTATCCTCTTGAATTTTTTATTTGTACTTCCCAGCTGTATTATCACTTGCGCTATTACTAAGTGCTGGTCGGATCCACATTCTGATCCACGGTATACCCTTACGTTTGTAGTCTTTAGACGAGTCTCTCAATGATCGAGCATAAATTTCTAGTGAATCCACGTATATTTGTGAATGTCCATATGCAGAAAAACCCATGCTTTGACAAAAATCCCTAGTGGGTTTTTCATTTATCAATACGTCACTATATTTGCCTAGTACAGGATCATTTTTTCTTTTCCTACCCTTCCATTTAAATCTCCTAATATATAGATTTAGCTGTTCTTTTTTAACACCACCTCATCTTGTTGTAGAGCTCGCCTTTCATTTTCCGATCTGCGCCTCCACTTGGCATGTCATTATTCTTTATTTCAACTATAATTATTTGCTCATCGATCTGTTTCTAGGTGCTGATGTTATTTCTGAAGCGGATTGCTCTTTGCCCAGACATCCTTATTTACACTACTGAAAATATGTATATTGTTTCCCATATCCTCAGTTCCTTTCCGTTTTTTCTTGGTCTTTGCGAGTACACAAATATCAACTTCTCTTTTTTCCAATTCCTTGAGAACATCTATTTGCTTTGTCTTGACTCATTGTATATTCCATGTAGCCAGTTCCATGTTCCTTTTCCGTAGCGTACGTGTTCGTATTAATCTGTCCGTATTCCGAGACTTTTCGAAGCTTTAACAAGTAATGGGTTGCTAGCCCATCGCCTCAACATTCAGACTGGAAGGACCGGAATTTTCTGTTGGGGTTTATTTCCCTGGCCGATAAGTACCAGTTTTCAAACTGTCCTTTCACCCTCTCTTGTCTGTTACACAACGCACACCTAACATATATACTATGTGTCCGGTGGTTATGCGACACTCTTATCTTCGTCGAGGTGACAGCAGGATTTACTAAGAGAGCTGAGTTCTATTTATAGAACCTCTGGCTACGAACTAGGCATCGGCAGCCCCTTTAGCCTCCAAACCCTTAACCAGCATTTAACTACATTTGTTATAATAATAATATATTTTTTTTTATTCTTTAGACTCAAATGCACAATTTCGAGCGACTGTTGAAGAAACACAAAACTCGAGAAATCTCAAAGACTATTGCAATCTAGGCCAATATCACACCATGGAAGGAAAAAATAAAAGTTCCTTAACTTCTTAGCAGTAGTCCTGGTGTTGCGGTATTAAGCTTTGCCCGTGTAGCTCCTCGAATATGAAACACCTCTGTTATTCAAAGTTTCGTTCAGTTAATCTTTTGAAAATGGTATATCCTGTAAATGCAGTAACCCCTTTGTTTGTCTGGCCGAATCAAATCACATATATGTTTAAAATTCCTGTTTATGGTACGACGCCTTGGTCCCAACGATGACATTTTTCAAGTACATGTGACACTTTTCTCAATATATTTTATTTATTTGTCTTCCAGGTGACTTGTTTGTTTTTTCCTTCATTTACACATCCCAGTATAGTATGTTAGCAAAGCCCAGGACCGCCTGGGGTACGTATGCCCGTTTCGGAAAGGACGTCCAGCCTTCCAAAGTGACAAGCGAGCATGAGGTTATTTGTCATTTTTACTGCATACACCACTGGGCGTGGAATTACTGTAATCGCGAAAAATTTCAAAAATGAGATATTATGTTTTTGAATGTTATATGACATGTACATCACGAAAAACCATGTCACCCATTTCCGTCGATCTGTCTGTCTATAGCTCAGTCTGTCGACTATTCCTTGGACCATCTTCTATAGCTTGGTAAATACCGCTCGAATTTGAGTGACATTTTCAGACAAAGTCACTACTATACCACGGGCCAGAAAGCTTCGTAGCTTTTAAAAATCGTACCAATGGTTGCGGAGATGCGGTAAAAACATGTAAAAAATAAAAAAATATATTTGATGATAATGTATATACACGATAGTAATCGGTACACGGAATGAACGATAACTCGCTACAGCCGTGCAGCGGTGGAAAGGGACAACCTTGCCAAATCGATAGTAACTACCGCTAAGGCTGGGAAAGAATGTCTATGGACTGATTGTATGGACCTACTTGGACTGACTTGGTTTGTTTAATTTCTCTGTTGTACATGTTCGCAACTGACGTAATTTAATCATCGGCGTTGGGTAGAAAGTGAGGAGACAACCTACATAACGCCACTTTTTTATATCCAGACACATCACCCACGTCCATCATCCCGGAAACAGCAAAAATCCTCCAAAACACAAAAACTCACTCAGAACTGTTGATGTAACACACCGGTGCCATCTTAAAATTGCACTGATGGCCTTAAGCAACCTCAGTGTCTTACAGGACCTTGCATACTACTAACACACTGTATAGGAATGCGTAAATGAAGGAAAACACAAATAAAGTGTCACCTTGGAAGACAGATAAACAAAATATATTGTCAGGGGTATCAATTATACTTGATAAACGTCACTGTTGAGACGGAAACCTCGTACAAGAAAGAGGAATTTTACACATATCATGTGGTTTGATTCGGTCAGACAAACATGGGGAATTTTATTAGCATGGAAACTACAATATAAGCTTCAGATGTTACAGGAAATGCCAAATTTCAACAAAATAGTTTTCATACTGATGAGATACATACCTGTACCTTTCGGGGATAAATAGAACAACAAAATCCTAGGACCAGGTAGTATCCACTCTTCAGGTAAGTGAAAAAGCTCCATGGCAATAAAAATCGTTCATTATGCGGAGTAGGGACTGGGGATTAAAATTGCAATGGCTGGCAGCATTTTCGGGTATTCAGGGGCTGTTTCACAGTAAATGACCAATTTGCAATATCAGATACTTACATCTGTTTCAATGTCTTAAATGCTAAAATAGTAGTAGTTTAAGGTTTGTTATTGAACAAAGCGATGTAACAATAAAAGTTTGGAGGAAAGGATTTTGAAGACATGTTCGTAAAAAAGTAAGCGATCATTTGAAATATGTACTGTCCATCTTTCAAAGGTTTTATTGATGTCATACGATAACTATATATGGTACTAGAATTTTTTATGCGACATGGTAAAGGACAAAATATCAGTAAGCCATTACAAGATAGATTATCCATACATGTACTAGAAATTTAGACTTGTAATATGAAATTTGTTCTTGTAACATGATCATGTGTTTTATTATTGAAGACTATGAACTGAAAAATATTTTGGTTGGAGGCCTTTAACAATTGTTGAAGATGCAAATCATTGTCAAATATAAATGTCTTTTAGTAACGATTGCACCCTGGATTTTGATGTGTTTGTACCTGTGATACCTTGTTTCGCTTAAACAAAAAAACAGTGTAGTGCAATAGTCAAAATGATATACCGAAGCAGCAGCGTAGGCAGAAGTCTAAATACCAGGTCATATGAGTAAAAATGAATAATTTTTTGTGTGTTCGTTCAATAGCATAAATGAAGCATCCTGCGTGGGAGTCTCTAGTTGTAGAGACATTCCAAAAGTAGTTGCCTAAAGTCAAAGCAATTTTGCATATCTCTTCAATTTTCTACCCCCAATAATCTAGACACTCTCTCAAGTAAACTAGGAACCTTAAAACTGCACAAAAACTCCAAAACGTTCAAAAACTTCATTGGTCTACGCGACCTTTAAAAGTGATCCTGTAGTTTCTTCTCTAAATTGTCGTATTCACTGTGAGACATTTAAATTAACGATTATTATCAAGGTATTTCTGACTATCAGTGTCATTTACAGTGATCCAAACAAGTTAATGGTATGATGACTGCTACGTACTGAACTAATTTGATCTGTTGTAAATGACCATATATGTACCAGAAATTCATTATTTAAAAGAACCGTAAAGAACATGCTTTGAATGTTTTTTTAATTCCATGGCAATTTTGTTTTCCAAATTTTGTGGTAATGTTGAAATCATACATGAAAGAATGTACTTTCTAGGTGAAACTAAAAGATCCGACACCAGAAGGAATGAGTGGATGACAGCTGGTCTAGTAAAGCCGGTGATTGAGAAGAACAGATTTTCCTCGAATAAGAAAATGAAGAGAAGTGCAAAATATTTAAAAACAAGTTACCAGCTCATTCATAATACTTAATAATTAGTTTTCATCAAAATATAATCAGTAGTATCCAAAACAATACACAAAAAGTGTGGTCATGTGTTAATCAAATGACTAATCGAAAGGAACGTAGAAGTAGAGGCACCTGCGAAATTAAAAATTAAAAGGAACTTATTTTGAAAATAGATTCGGATACAGCAAACGAATTTAGTAATTATCTCACATAAGATGGTTAAACAATATCTTATAAAATAAAACAGAGTAATCCAAATTACTAAATAATTACACATATGTACTAGTTATAAGCCTCCCGTACAAGACTACCTATACCTGTTGTTTTTGCAAAATGTGTAAATTTCTTAAGACGCTAAAGACGCTTTCTCAATCCTACTCCTCTTACATGTAACCAATAGTATGTTAAAAGATTTCGATTCACTTACTTCTCGAGTTATATATACTGTGGTAAAGATTTGTGAATATATCGACATTGTTGAAAGCAATGAGCCACTTTGTTCTTCATGATATATTCCAAAAATATCAAAAAATATTATACCCTACTTTACCACCCGCATGAAGTAGCAATGTCGTAGAAGTATGTTCCATGCTTTGAAAATGTTTAAGAAAGACGACCCTCACTGTCTAGCAATTCAAATATCTATAAGCCGCAGGCTAACGTTTAGTCCTATCAAATAATAGCAAATACAATGTTCAGTATCGGAAGTTGTAGCTTAGATAAGCTCTCAGGCTCAGTCGTTATCTAGAAAATGTCTATTTATAGATTACAAAATATACAAGTGTAATTTCACTTTTATGAAAACAATCGTTTTGCATCGTTATTATGGACAATAGTAGTTGTTATATCTTCTTATTTTTCGGCGCGACAATTTGATTATTTTTCTAAAAGCTATGGAGGACTTTTGAATGTGCGGTTTCTATAACGTGCCCTACAATGGTTGACCTTCAGCATCTCTACAGACAAAGAAGTATCTTCAAAACACGAGCAAACATTAGTCAAGAGGAGTTCCTTGGACCAATATAAAACTATTATGCCTTACATGTCTTTGATGTTTTGGTAGATCTATTCGTTTCGAAGATATGTACTTACAAAGTTTTATTTTACTTGGCAAAAACAATATGTGAAGCTTCTTATCTATAAAAACTATTCAAAATGATGAATTGTACGTATAAATACTTCCATCTTCTCCCACAGACCGTCGCATATGTCAAATAGACCAGGCTGATTCTAATCGAGTTACATCTATCAATTATTCGATTTCCGCTGAAATTGTAGGTATGTTTCTATTGAAAAGTTTCGACTAACCACTGAACTCAAGTTTAAATTATCAGGAAATGGCCTTACTGTATGGGTTCGAAAGCCTATGAGAAGAAAATTGCTGCCTTGCATTCCATCCGAGTTGTTTATTTTAACAAATTTTGAACATTAAGAAGATTCAAATGTACTTTTACTGGAATAAATGTCTTGTTTATTATTTATCTGACACGGAGCGGTTATCTGAGAACCGTCAAGGGACAAAATAAAGATGTTCTAAGAATTAATAATGTACACATTTTTTATTTGATCATCAGTCCTTACTTGTCTATTTTTGAACAAAGAATAAATTCAGACTCTATGCCTGAAGGTCTCCAATCACTTTAAAAGAAAATATTAACTCTACTTGAACTGTTAAATTTCTACGCATTCAGGGCGACAATATATAAAAGAATGTGAATACATGTAACTATAGGTTTGTTTTTCTTGTCTCATGAGGTAGGTAGTCTGGCTGTTTGTGGCTTTTGTCACTAATCTCAATGACCACTGTCCAGAGTATCACGTTTGGAGAACAAACAATACATTGTGGTATCACAGAAACTATGCCTACGTACATTTTAAAAATCGACGCATTGACGGCAGGTTTTTCAGTAAACGCATATTAAAACATTACCAAACTTTGTTTTTATCCTGAAATAAAATTTTTAATGACGATATATTCATGGTCGCCTGCAGGAATTTTTCCCAGGAGAACCAATTAGATATCGCCAAGAGGCAGCTTGTAGATTATGGAAGTGTATCAATCCTTAAAACTTGTTAAAAATTATATAGTAGGAAGGTGAAATCTTAAAAATCCCAAAAATAGTAGGCACACCCAAACCATGCTAAATATGCAAGTTTTATGGGCCAACCCGATTCTTAGGAGCCGCGACCCCCCTGAGGGAGCCAATGGATATATTGCAAATATACTGAGTTCTTTAAGCTGCGTTTCTATTGTTTCTGATCATTATCGCTTAGTACGGAGTAAAAAAATGGAGGGACCAAAGAACGCCCAAACGACATGTTTTAGACTTATATCGATCTAGATATAGACCTAAAATGTTGTCATTTTGAGTTTCTTTAAGAATTTAATGAACCATCCCATTTTGGGCCTTATGGCGAACAATGCTAAAATATGTTACCTCCATGAATGAATGGTCTATAAAAAAATAAGTCTGTGTCCTATATGCGTTATAAATAATGTTGAAATCCCCTGTTCATTTGTCGATCTACTCATCGTCAAAGCTGTCAAATATCAAAAATACACTGTCTCTTTTAAGATGGGGGTTTAGTTTTCCTTATGTAGATGTCTAGCATAGCGGAGATACCATATAAACGTCATTATTTGGGTGCAGCACCCACAGTGCGCGCTCCATTTCCACGTGGGCAATAATGTACTTTTAATGCATCTTTTCCATTACGAATGCGTTCCCGAACAAAATCCAGATTATGTATTTACCACCGAGACCACGGGGAGTTGCCCTAGCTGCAAGAAGATTTGTCTCGAACAATTTATATTAGGAGCTTATATGTATTTTCTGAGATCTAGGAAAACAAATATGCATATTATATACTTCCAGTAAAGGTAGTTCAAATGTTGCTGGGCACTATAAGTCCACGCATTCAAAATTATAACTGTTTACGTATGGCACAGAAGCTTTAGTACCTAGTCGGGACATAGGTACCTACCTACCTACCTATCTAGTCCTTTCAGCAATTTGTTTTCTGTTTCAACAGCGAAACATCTACGTTTTAAACCACGAAACTTCTGACGATGTGCATAAATAATGCATTATCATCATACTTATTACATTGTCAGTAATTATCAGTCTATAGCGGCTCAATATTTATCAAGAATCCACCGAACTCAAACCTCCTAATGACGAAACGCCTAAATAATACAAAACAACCTCTACGTGCGTCGAGACAAAGCCGAGAACGGCGTGAATCATCGTTGAAGAGAATCAAAAACAGCACGATGCCTGTGTGCTACGAAATCGCTACGAATCAAGGCTATTTATTCAGCTACGCTACGGAACATATTTTCTATCCCTCCCACCTCCTAAACGCTCAATTCATGGCGATACTGGAAGTGATGGCAATTTCATATGCCAATCTTGCATAAATTACAAGTTTGTAAAATTAAATTCCAAGAAAACTTGTGAAAAAGGCCATAATTAGAACGCCCCTAGCGGAGATACACCGAACCACGGAAAAAATTCCTGGCGAAAGAACCACGTCCCTATCAACATGATATGTTAAAATAGTTTATTCGGCAAAGTTTGCTGTGCTACGATCGGCTCCGTACGGTACCGTTCCGAAAACCTTGCGAAAATCCCTTAAAAACCCGAACATTTTTCCAGATTGTGAAAGCACGGGTCTTTCTCTATCCAAATCGGCCCAAAATCAGGCGAAATACCCTGAAAAATAAGAAATATTTGGATAAATCTAAGGCGGCCGTGCTGGTGTCCCCGCGTTCGGGTGTGATCGGCTACCGTCGGCGCGTCGGCTGAACGCTTGATGGATACGTGCTTTCGGAGAAGCGGCAGCGAAATCCCGTCACTGAATAGGTGGCGTTGGTAGTAAGGTAAGAGAAACCCCTCAATTGTTTTTGTAGCCGTGTTTTTGGGTTTTTCATGGTTGTTTACGAGTGGTTGCAAGTGAGAAATCGACGTGCGACATCGTTCTAATGCTGTAACAGATCGATATTTTGCTGGTAGGTCTGCATGTAGATGATTTAGAAGTAGTTAATGTGTTGCATTTAGGTTATGTCGCACGTAAATATCCGTTTCAGCTTAGGAGAGATAGGAGCCCCTGCTCGAACCACACCGCAAGGGGGCGCCGTAGTAGAGATGGCAATTTTCTGTTGTTTTTCGTAAGCGTGCCACAGGTGATGGCGGTGCCCAAAATTGGCTTATGAGCGGGGGTGACGGGGGAAAACCGGTCGAATGGATGATTCTTTGTTGTTTTGACGTCATCGGCTTTTTCTTTGGATGATTTCAATGATGGGGGTGGATGGTTTCTCTATCTTACGCTGCGTTTGACAGTCATTGGGCGAATTATTACTTATATAACTGGAAACTGTCGAGTGGCATCGCCATTTTTGAGCATTTTTTGAGTTTTGTTATACCTTGCTTCATTTTTAGAACATGTTTTAATCTAATTAGTGCTGATTTATACATTAATGCTAATGATTTTGTATTGAAAATCTAATTAGGAGTTGCAGACACGGTTTTAGTTGATCTTTACTCTCGACGAGCGTAATAAAATCCATACTAATCAACAACTCATTTTCTTTCTCTACGCATTTAGGTTTAACGTTAAGGTTGGTAATTGTAGGTTTTTGCACATATTATTTAACTTTGGAGATCGCCATTGAGTTTAAATTTCATTTCATAGGAAAGTTCAAAGGGATTAAGTAGTATTTTTAAATGCCATGGTGTTACTTCAAATGCTACCTCTGTATTTTGTTTTCAGTATGAAAATTTGACAAGTTATGTTTGTGAAGATACAGTTAATTTTAGTTTTTATTATGTGTAGGGTGGATTTTGATATGAGTTTGTGATACTTCGATTTCTTATTCTAAAAACTGAAAATATAGTTTTTGGCCGTCATTTTTATCTGTAATTTTAGAAGAGATGGCATTTCCGATTAACCGAAAAATAAATATTACTTTTTTTTCTTAAATTCGAATAACCTAAAATATTTTGTACGGTTATTGATGTGTATCCAGAAAAGTAAGAAACATCGACATATGTTATACTGAGGGGGTAATTAATCCATCATCCCTCAGATATTCGCAAAGATGCCAGTTTCGTCGTAGTATTATAGCTGTCTGAAGCATTTAAACCCTATTATCCTACGAAATGGCGGCAAATCAAATAGCTTTTACAAGCTTCCCACTTTTTAACCCGCGGGTAAAATAGCTTTGGCGCCCGCTATATTGAAAATTTCCGAAGGCAACTGGATTTTCAGAGTTGGGAGAGGAGAGGAATCACGGACCTTTGGCACCCTTTTATATGCATATATAACTTTGTTTGATTCAATATGTAAGTAATGCAGGTTAATTGAGGAACGCGTTACCCATACGCCTTTGAAAGTAGTGTTGGTCTCATCCCTGATAAGAAGTAGATTCATTCTGCGCTTAATATCCAATTTTTTTTTTTATTTACTTCTCTCTTATGCGTTGTTCGGCAATGACAGAATCTTCATCAAAATCAATTTAGTCCCTCCCATCACGCGAATTTAATCAAAATCGACTGAATGCTTTTGCTGTTGGAATTAAACAACATATTTCACACCCCTTACTTTGGAAAAAAGGTATGCACCTAAAGTTTCCAATATAAAACTAAATCAGGGCAGGTAAGAAAAGAAGCAGAAGCAATAAAATATACCCTGTTACTATTGGAAGGTTGTTCAGTTTTATGGATACAGGGTAAGTTTTTAGTGTGTAGAGTCGATGAATAGCTACATTATTGTGAAAAATCTCTTAAGAATCTGTTTAAAATAATTGTAGGCCACTATACATTTCTTATTTGTAAAATATACTTCCTTGAAGGTGATTCATAACTTCGTGGCAAAACATACATTTTTTAATTTGAATACCCTGTATATTTTTGTGAATTCTTAAAGGTATCCTCAAATGAAGAAATTTGGTATCCATATTGTCCGATTTTACTCGATTCTTCTAGGTCTGCAGGATATTTAGCCCAAAAAACATTCAACTTTGACAGCTTTGCAGATAGAATAGCAAACTTCTCAATGAGCTTCATATACAGGGTGATTCACAAGTCGGGTCCAAAAATAAAACATCATACTCAGAACCGCCTTTTAAGGATGGTCGTCTATGTAACATTTTTTCCTCGAGGGCTTCATTAAAAAGATACGGGGGTGTTGAAGTTCAAAAATAAAAAAAAAATAATATATTCAAAACCATCAACTGGAATGAAGTAAAATTTGGTATGTGGATTTACCTAAGTATTAACCACCTTCAAAAGTCTTTACTTAAAATTAACCAGTAGCGGAGATACATAGGATTAGTGGCATTATTTTTTCAAAAACAAACCAAATTAGATCATTCATGAAGAGCCGAGATACAATTAGTTTCAAAATAACATAGAAGGCCTTGATACCAACTTGACGTTTCTTGGGAGATAGTTTGTCAAAGATACGGTTGTTATCGTTGCTACCACCATTTTTTTTAAGTCAAGACAAAAGCTTCTTTTTTCCATTTTGGAGTGTTGAGAAATGGAATTTAGTAATGATGAGTAGATATTATTTTTGTGTACAGGTTCTGTAATGTATCAACGAAGATTTCCTAACAGACGCCAACCTACCCCAAAGGTTTTGACGCGTTCATTTCTAAGGCTTCGGCAATATGGAATTGCCAAACTTCCCGAAGTTACAGGCCATGGTGATTAATTTGGCGTTGGATGATCCTAGTACAAATACTAGGTGGATTGCAGCCCAGTCACCATGTTCCCAAAGTCTTGCTTGGAGAATTTTAAATCATGAAGATTTACATCATTACCATCGACATAATGTGCAGTGTCTGCAAACCGGCGACGAAGTGCAATGGCGAAATTTTTCTGCAAATGCATAATCAAAATGCAGATTTTATTGATTTCTTTTTGTGGTCAGATGAATCGCTTTTTACGAGGAGTGGAACCTTTAATTCTCATAATGAACATACTTGATCGTTAGAAAATCCCCGTTCTGTAAGAACAACACAGATTTTCTAGCAATGTCTGGTGCGGCATTTTCAATGGCCAACTGTTTATGCACGTATTGAAATAACGTTTAAATGCAAACTCATACTTAGCTTTTCTAGAGAATTACATAGAAAATGTGTTAGATGATGTTTCGTTAGCAACGAAAGTACGAATGTGGTATCAGCTCGACGGTGCCCCACCGCATGTTCGTCGTGACATAACCGCATGGTTAAATAATCATTTTAGACAACGATGGATTGGCAGAAACGGACCCGTACATTGGCCTGCGAGGTCTCCTGATTTGAACCCCTGGATGTCTTATTATGGGGCGCTTTTAAACATCTAGTGTATGCTGAACAAATTAATACTGTTGTCAGTTACAAGAAAGAATAGAGTAATGCGTTTCATCAAATCCAAGCCACAAACAAATTTGCGGGAATTCGTTTGCCTTTATTAAAAAGATGCCGCACTTGTATCGGTCAGAATGGTGGTCTTTTTGAACATTTATTGAAATAAAGCTTTGATTATCAAATATGTTTTTTTTCTATTTTCACGAAAACAATGCACTCTAGGAAAAAACAAGAGTAATTATTTGTAGCAAATCAAGGTAAAATTCGAAAAATTGCGCGTTTCGAAAAAAAAAACGTGGTGTACTATTTTTATTTGGAAAAATAATGCTACTAATCCCCTGTATCTCCGCCACTGGTGCACGTTTATTTTAAGTAAAGACTTCTGAATGTGGACAATACTTAGGTAAATCCGCATACTAAAATTTAGTCCATTACAGTTGACGGTTTTGAAGATATTAAAAAAAAGTTTTTTATTTTTAAACTTCATCTTCAACTTCAATGAACGCGTCAAAACCTTTGGGGTAGGTTGGCGTCTGTTAGGAAATCTTCGTTGATACATTACAGACTCTGTACACAAAAATAATATCGGCTTACTCATCATTACTAAATTCCATTTCTCAATACTCCAAAATGGAAAAAAGAAGCTTTTGTCTTGACTTAAAAAAAATGGTGGTAGCAACGATAACAACCGTATCTTTGACAAACTATCTCCCAAGAAACGTCAAGTTGGTATCAAGGCCTTCTATGTTATTTTGAAACTAATTGTATCTCGGCTCTTCATGAATGATCTAATTTGGTTTGTTTTTGGCTTCAGAAGATGTCAACCACTCGTATTGGAAATACTTCACGACGGCCTAACTAGCCAAAAACCAACCAAATAACATTGGATGATGGCCGCGAAAGCCGTTCGCATTTCACTAATTCGTTTTAGTTTTCGAAAACAGTGCACTCTAGGAAAAAACAAATTGAAAGTAACATTCGAAAAATTGCGCGCTTCGAAAAAAAAACGTGGTGTACTATTTTTATTCGGAAAAATAATGCTACTAATCCCCTGTATCTCCGCCACTGGCGCACGTTTATTTTAAGTAAAGACTTCTGAATGTGGACAATACTTAGGTAATTCCACATACTAAAATTTAGTCCATTACAGTTGACGGTTTTGAAGATATTAAAAAAAAGTTTTTTATTTTTAAACTTCATCTTTTTATGAAGCCCTTGAGGAAAAACTGTTAAGTAGAAACCCCCCTTAAAATGCCTTCCTGTGTATGATGTTTCATTTTTGGTCACAACTTGTGAATCACCCTGTATACAATAGTTTCCAATCGTTCAAACCTTCTTGAAATTTTGTGCATCTTCTATCATGTTCATAAACATTATGATGTATACAATTTTTAGAGGGTTAGGTTACTAAATTTTTGGGTTATTTGCAGTGTTCCAGAAATTAAAATTCAATATATAGGTATATAAATATCACAAGGTGGAGAGGCAGGATTGTTAGTGGATAGGAAAAGATTTTAATGAAGGGTTGTACACTTACATTAAAATCCTCCCTTCTACGAATCATTTTGTATTTGTTGTTGTTTATATTTTGAATTGTAGTTTGTGATACTGCAAAGAACTCAAAAATTTAGTAATATAACCCGCTAAAAACTTCGTGTCAAAATAATGTTTAAAATAAATAACCCAAAACCGTAAAAATATATACCATTTGAAGTTTTCGAGAAAAATAACATTTTGCGTTTACAAATACATTGTTTAGATGATACACAACATTTAAAAAATGTGTAAATGATAAGTAAACTATGCGATTCGAAGCTCATCTCGATGAAATACTTGCTACTCTATCTACAAAAATTTATCTTATTTATTATTTTATTTTCAAAGTTCAGTTTTTTATCGGATCAAGTTAACCCCTGGCTCTAGTAGTAGAGGTGGCGTGGTCAACAAATGTCTATTCTATCTATCTATCTATTAAAACTGGCTAAATAAATAAAAGCTTGTAATTATGTTTTTCATGATAGTATACTTATTTTGAAAACAAAATCAGTAATGCACATCTTCATCACAGGATTTCTGATAGATTTCAAATAGGACTCTGTACATATCTTTTTCAGAAATCTTATTCTACGTAAAGTTCTCTCTCTTTTGTTGTCAAATGACAGCTGCATAAAAGAATTTGTGAATTAACCTCCATAAGCTATAGGTATTATAAAAGATTTTATATTATTGGCTGACTCACGATTTACATTTTTGTTTATTGTTCCACTCGCCTAGTAGAGACCGTTGGGTCAAAGTAAACATATTCCAAAACATTTATCTCCGCTTCTTCACTTACTACGAACGAGTTGTCTTCATCACCATTGATATCCTCATTTCTAAACTTTGCTTCTAACTTCAAAAGTATGAATCACTTGGCTGTATTCTATTACGATATCGCTGAGCGTACAACTCACAAGCATTTCGTCAACAAACAGTGAAAACTGATCAGGGAATTTCCTCCTCTGAGCCAGTTCCTTCAGGGGTTCCTCAGGGTTCAGTATTAGGTCCCTTACTATATCTGATTTATACGATCGATCTGTAAGACTGTTTAGTCCACTGTAGTATGCAAACTTATGCAGATGATACTCAGTTAGTGTTTGGTTTCGATCCATCAAAGGTTGATGAAGTTTCTTTTAAAGTTAATTTAGATTTGGCTAACATCAGTGATTACTGTAACAAACACTGCTTGAAGATCAATCCTAATAAAACTACTGCAATGTTGTAATGTTCGAAGAACTTCTACCGTGAAATGAAGCAGAGGATTTGTGTTGTTTTAGATGAGACACTCATCCCTTTTGTGGATTACGCCAAGAATCTCGGTGTTACCCTTTACTTATCTAGAGTAACGTACATGCGATTGAAACTCCTCTATTCTAATCGATTCATCTTGAATTTTAAAACCCGAAAAAAGCTCGCTGAAAGTCTTGTGTTGTCTGTCATTTCTTACTCTCTTGTTCTTTATTACCCATGTTTAGACTACGTCCACAAAAGGAAACTCCAGAAAATTCAGAACAGCTGTTGTAGGTTTATTTTTGGATTGCGCAAGTTTAGTCGCGTCTCGGATAAAAAGAACTCAACTGGTTGCGAATTGATAAGTTATTTTTATATCTTTTGACCGTATTCACGAATAAAGTTCTACGTATTATCTAACAGACCAGCTTACCTCGCTAGCAAATTAGTTCACCGGGGTAGTTTTGTTACCAGAGCTCTTAGATTTAATGCTAATTTTAACATGCCTCCTCACAATACATCGGTCTTTGAAAGAAGTTACACCTATAATGCTGTCAAGCATTACAATGCAGTCAACAGTGGCTATCGATCCAAACAGGTTGCTTCTTTTAAGAAACTAATGAAAAGTCAGCTGCTGGAATCCATTTAGTTCAGTTTTTCTTGTGTTCATGTGCTTTTTTTTTGATTGACTGTTTTGTACTATTTTTGTTTCAAATTTAAAACTCTCGCAATACTATCTGCATTTGTCTCGTGCAATCAATGTTGTCATTCTTATGAATTGTATTTTTTTGGTATGTTAATATTTTGTTTATGTGTTTAAGTATTCCTTTTTCCTGTTGTGGGGTTGGGTGTAAGAGTAGCCGTCTGGCTAAACTTCGCCTCACTGCAGCTAATAAAGGCATTATTATTATTATTTCTAGAATTTTCTCTGCATTCACCGAATATTAATAGCATGTCAACTTGCTCGTTTCTTGTAAAACTCATAGTAAAGAGCGTAGGTTTACCTTTTATGGAATAGGAATAAGTGAAAATAAATTTATGTAAGTGAACGGAGATTGTCAAACGTCAAATAACTAAACAGTAATTGCTGAAAACATCCTAAATTATCATAGCCTCATTACTTTCTTGCGGCGACTGGTAGCTGCTATGAAGTAGTAATTTTAATTTGATACTAAACCGATAGTAGCTTGCAGATCATCATTGGAAATGCGTTTTCATTTAGAGACAATAATAAAAGAACCTACTTTTTCTTTTGTAATAGCTATAACTTATGGATTCACAATTTCTTTTCTGCCGATATCTTTTTACAACAAAAGTAATACTTGTTATACATCATTAACTATAATAAGATTTCTGAAAAAGGTATACAGTGTGCTATTCAAAATCTATCAGAAATCCTGTGTTGAAGATGTCGATTCCTGATTTTTTTTTTCAAATAAGTATACTAACATGAAAAACATAATTACAAGCATTCATTCATGTTGCCCGTTTTAATAGACATTTGTTGATCACGCCACCTTGACAGTTTGAAATATGTTTTTGTTTTGTAAGCAATATAGCGGATTTTAGGTTATTAACAAATTCCTTTACAGTGCCGCCATTTTAAAACGAAAATGTCCCTTGTGGAACATCGTTGGAAAGGGAATTTTGCATGGAGTACGCTTATGGAAGAAAATATACAGGTTTCCATTTGAAAAACGAAACTGAGAGAGTTGACCCATTCAACTTTCCAGAAATGCCTCTTAATGACTAACTAAACATGTCCCAATCCTGAAGCGATATCTTTATTTGCCAAAAAAATACAGCGTGTTTCATTGTCACCCGGCATACAGAACATTCCAATAAATACATATGCATGTTTACATTGCCACGTAGTTATGAATCGCCCTATAGAGAGCAGTATGTTTTGCAAAGACGATATATTAGCCAAAAATTCTTTAAAACAACTTTTTTTGATATATTTTATAGCGACGGAGCTATAGACCGATTACACATTGAAAACTCATCCTGTACGGAAAAAATACGTAACTCATACCCAATTTTTCAAAATAATAGTATATTTCGGACGTGTATCGTTGCTACTATTTCCAGTTAAAACGTCAACAGAAAGACGGGCCGGAGAAAACTATTATAGATACATGGATGTTCGTGATGTATACCTTTTGTCGGACCTCTGTGCACCTCCTACATCAGTGCCAACGTGTAAATCACCGTCAAAACAATATTATAAATCAGGTAAAATACGATACAACGTATGTTTCAACAGTTTTTGAAATTTTTTTCAAATATTCGTTCCAGAACACTTCATTCAGTACTTTTTTGGAGAGATAAAAGCATTTATAGCCACTCTCAGGCAGAAAAGCTCGACAGTATGGCCTGTCGGCCTTTCCTGCCTAAAGTGTGAGATTCTTCAAAAGCGGCAAACCCACTACAACCTCTCAGTCGATGTCTACACATCCCATCACGGTAATGCTTGCAGAATTTCTTCATGGTGGGTCGCGTTCCGCTAAGTTTTCGAACCAAAGGTATTAATCATCTACTCTACGTCGTACCTACAGGGTGTCCCAAAAGTTATGGATCAAGTGAAAGGGGGGGGGGATAGGTGGCATCATGTTCAATCGGAACAACTGTATATGTCCTTATCCGATTGTGCACGGTTTTTGAGTTATCGTCATTTTTAAGAATTTGTAGAAAATCGCTTTTTTGAGACTGCGCTATTTTTTACATATTTTTTAGATATCTCTTATAATAACGGAGTAATCGACCGATCTCACAAGAAAAACTCGCCCTGTACCTCAATAGCGTTCCCAGCTCAAAACAGAAGGGGGGCACCTTCAATTTTGGTGGAAGTTACACAAACCATATCTACATAATCATGTCAGCGATGCTGGCGACTCACTTTTTTCACTTTTTCTCACTCTTTTAGATCCATCTCACTTTTACCCTTTTTTCAATGAAAACATTCCCTTTTCTTACTATGTTCGCTCTCGCTGTATATATTGTAGTTTAAGAACGTTTTCCAGGGAGCTGTCCTCGTTCTCAAGCCCCACGAACTGACATGAACTGATTTTTTTTATAAAAAAATAACTATGACAAAGTTTTCCACGTACAGGGTTCTCCCCAAGCTGAGCCAATATGTATTGCATGAGAAATTACTAGGATCAGTTGAAATCTACGTTCAATTTTGATTCAGCTTTACAAAAAGCACTATTATATATATATATATATTCATTTGAAAACTTCCACCACGGATTTATCAAAACCACTGGTTAAAAAAACGCCGAGGCGCGTCAAAAGATCTGACAAGGGGGGCAAGTTTTTAACCAAAAACTCATTCACCCGTTTTGACCCTCTGCCCCCCCAGGGTCATCCCCTTAAACATTTTAAATGACAAGGGGTATCGAGTAATAGCTTGTTTAAAAGATCTTTCGAAGTCGTTTATTTTGACGTATGATTTTTTAAAATCAGTTGATTTGTTTTCAAGAAAATTAGAAAAATCTTTATTTATCTCAATTTGTGCAGGTAGAAAACAAAAGCACACGAAAATATCACTTTTTATTACAATAAGTGTTCAAAATGTTGCCCGTTTGGGTTTGCCAAATCTTTTTTGGTTTATATTTTAAAACGGAAATCACCAACAAACAGCAATTCGGAAGATTAGACATGGCAACAACCAAATAACAACCCGAATTTCGCATTTTTTTCATCATCACAGATATCCTGGGCGAACTGTATTTATTGTTCTACCGGTTCAGTTATTTGTTGCTAAAGGAAAGAAACTCAGTTACCTTTGTGACAATCTTGGGATAGTGAAAATTAATCTATTGATTCAGATTTTACTTCCAAAATGGCTTGCACACTAACCGAAAGAGTGGAAATGATTCTAATTTATGGTGCTCAAAATCAATGTGCTCGGCAAACTGCCGTTACGTTTAACGCCAGACATCCGGGGAAGATAATTTCGCATAGGTATGTTTTGGACCTTGTTACAAAAATTCACTCAAACTGGATCTTTTGCAAATTAAAAAATACTTCATTAGGCAAAATTGTTGCTGCGACTCCTATTTCATTAGGGTCTGTACACACAGTTACTTAAACTCCAGAAATTTCATCCATTCAAATTGAAAATATTGCAGGAGTTAACCGAAGATGATTTTGTTAAGCGAGTTGAGTTTTATAAACAAATGACACCAGCGATTAATGATAATACCATTCATGTAAAAAATCTGCTTCAGTGATGAATGCACATTTTATCTAAATGGATTTGTTAATAAACATAACTGCAGATACTGGAGCAATGAAAATCCTCATGCTTTTGTAGAATGACATACCTAGTACTCCCAAACAATTTGTATGGGCAGGCATTTTAGGAAACACAGTAATTGGCCATTGTTTATTAATGGAAATTTGAATGGAGACATTTATTTGGATATGTTAGAAAATACAATCAAGCCGCTTATCACTGAAACCATTGAAACCCAATTCGAAGAGTATGGAAACCTTATACTTGATGAGGCATATATTTCTAGCAAGACGCGCGCCTCCTCACTATGTTCTTCCGGTTCGGCAATGGCTAGACGACGAGTTTCCAGATAAATGGATAAGGCGAAGAGGGCCCATAGAATGAATGTCCTATTAGATCTCCCGATTTGACGCCATTAGACTTTTTTGTATGGGGCCATTTGAAATCTATTGTGTTTACTTTCCAACCTGAAAGTAAGGCATCATCGAAAGCTGCCATGATATCCCACATGTTTTTGGAAATGTCCTTGCCAATAACGGGCAACATTTTGAACACTTATTGAAATGAAAAGTGATATTTTCGTATGTTTTTGTTTTCTATCCGAACAAATCAAGATAAATAAAGCTTTTTATAATATTCGTGAAAACGAATCGACCGATTTAAAAAAATCAAACGTCTTCGAAAGACCTTTCAAACAAGATAACCCTGTCATTAAAAATGTTTAAGGGAATGGCCCTGGGGACAGCGGGTGAGTAGTTTTTGGCTAAAAAGTTGTAAATGAGAAAATGTGGCAATGTTAATGTACAATTTAAAGGCCTTAAGCCTTCGTGATAGCTGGAATATAAAAAAATATTGCTCAGAGACATCAGCTTCATTAAAAATGGACTGGACTAAATAGTTGCTTTTTGATAGACACCTATAGTGTTTTTTACATATTTGGATAGACTTACACACTTCTGAATGCTTTCAGATAGCTGTTGAGATCGTAATCATGTATTTTGTTTAAAAAAATGAAACCATGCCAATCAGCTCTGCATCGCTCAAAATAGATCTAGTTTATTCAGTCCTTGATCTCTTCGAGTCAATTAGGTATAAAGGGTTCTTAAAACGCATATTCATGGTTCCTTAAAATATTTAAATAGAACATGTTCGTATTTTCACATTTTCGAATCTTGATACTTTTAAGTTGTTTTTAAATGCCTAGACAAGTGCGTGTCTTCGACGAAATTAGGGGATTCCGTTTAAAAATGCAACTTTTTCACTCTATTTATTGTGATCGAAATGCGGGTTGACACATTTTCATATTATTTAGACAGAATATATGTATATATATATATATATATGTATATAGAGAATATGATTATGCGGAGAAAAGTATATAACAACAGGTAGGAAAATAATGGGTAAAATCCGCAAAAAGGAGGAAAGTGGATTCGAGCAGAAAATAGGATAGGTAACCCGAGCGATACGTATTTCTGCTGGTTGGCTTCATCAGGCCCGAAATGAATGCACATATGAAACTACAAAAGTAGATACACATGCCCACACGTATCCGGATGTGTCACAGCAACCGTCTGTTGCGTGACTCAGTGGACTGCACAGTCCGTAATCATTCAAGGCCACGGCTCGCACTGTGATAAAAAAATAGCGCAAACTTTTAGTGGACTCAAAATTACACTCTAATAAAACCTGAATCAAAATTTGTTTTTAGTTCACCTCAAAATTAATCCGTGTACCAAGTCAAAAAACCTAGGGTTTCCTCTTAAACGAATACACTTCTGTTTTTCTATACTCTTCTCCTTTTTTCTTCTCTTTCCCTTTCTCTTTTTCCTTGACATTGTCTGGTTTCTGGGCAAGCAGGACTGACAGAATCGACTAACGTATATTAGACAGTGACAAATGGGCAAAGGTCCTACGGACCGCCCAGACAAGCAAATGACGAATAATCCTCTTGGAAAGTACTCTGGGCCCATGGACCCTTTTGTTCTACGTGCTGAGATCTACAACATACATCTTGAAACAAATTAATTTCAGTTTTCTGCCTTTCCCCATGAGGTTGCTGCGGGGTATTTTGGAGATCGATACGCTATAGGATCATAGCAAATATTGCTGCTTCATATTTGGGGAGCGATTCATTAGAGACGGTGCTAACCACAAAAAAATACATTTTCTTAAGCTTTATTTCAATATTTATTACGACTCTCCGATAGTTTTCGGGCGTAGTCCAAAAATCTTTCTACCACACTTTGAAAAACACGGACCTTGTTTCTCAACAGTTTTCAAACATTTAATAAAAAAAAATAGTGTTTAGCATATTGACTCGGTATATTTCTCGCATTAATCTACATCTATCTTCAAGTTTCCCATATATAGGGTGTTCTGAAAGTTGAAACTGTCCTTATCCGAAACAAGTTAAGTTGGGATAAAAAATCTAATGCGCGGTAAAACAGCAGTAAAAACGTAAAAAAGAAATTAAATGAATGTACTCACTATTTATTTGATAACAAATTTCAAGTACTGCCCCGTCACATGTTGATAGTATATTATTGTTCGTTGCCGTTCTATTCAAAAACACAAGTTTGTTAACTTTCTAAATTTACAATGTTTGGTGCTGACTCGCTCAATGACCATGCTGCATCATGCTCTGTTGGTTGCAGAATGTCTGTAGAGTATACTGGTTGAGTAGCAGTAGCAAAATCACAACTGGATGATTGTGTGTATTGTTCTGCGTGTGTAAGAAATCAGTTATATTTGCTATGTGAGAAAATTATTACTGAATATGCTGCATATTATCTGAAGGGAGGTTGACATCTTGTAGAAAAACCTACATAATGCCACAAAAAAACTATAATGTCAAAGAAGAAAACCTACATAGTGTCCACTTTCCCCCCTGGGGGACAGAAACGTCCAGAAAAACGAATACACTCGCGAATTATCGATAGCATCTTAAAAAGTCTCTGCGTAAAGTAGCATTAAATTGACAACTTACGTT